TTGGTTTATTCAAAATATCCTAATAAAGTTGCGATGAGTTTTTTTCCGGCTATTAATAAGCTATCTTGTACACTTTGCACTAAAATAGGTTCTAAAAAGAACAATGTTCGACTGCAAGGTCTGCTAGTAAACATTTTCAAGCTTACAGGATCACAACACTATTTATTTAAACCAAAAACTCGTAATACAAAACTAAAGTGTCAAAACGAATGACAATGTCAGAAAATAAATAAATAAATGTGGCAACTTGACATTTTTTACAGCAGAGCTGCCACCTGAATCCCAGCGGGAAATTCAAATTCCACTTAAAAAATTAAACATTTATTTGATATGAACCGTATGCATTTATACATTCCGTACATGTATACGGCACCTAACACAATCCCATTGGTCAGATTTGAATTTTAAACCAATTAAACTCCGAGTGCCATACGCGAGTATGGAATGTAAAACAGTGCCATGCGCACTTACGGAATGTACCTGGTAATTATGCTTGTAGCAGAAAGTAACGCCTGGCTATAGCTAATCTTGCAAGAGTAGCTGTGGCTCCGTGACCTGAGACCATCGCTTCGTGAACGAGAGGTTCGTGGTTCAAATCTCACGACAGACCATAACTTTTTTATTTTTTTACCACGGTTTTTATTTTTTTTAAAAAAAGCTGTAAAAATTTAATAGCAATCAAAATACGGATTGCGTTGGTTTCACTCTTTTTGGTGGGGTTAGACTGATTATTTGGTGGAATTAGTTGCGTTGGTTAAGATGGTTATTTGGTGGGGTTGATTGCGTGGGTTAGGTTAGCTATTTGGTGGGGTTGGTTTGGTTTTAGTTGGAATGCTCTATAACAAAGCCTTAATAGTAATGTCTAAAAAAATTTCCAGGATATTTGGCCGCTAGAGGAAGGCGTGATTTTCTGCTGCAGTATAACTACTAGATACATTCCGTAAGTGCATATGGCACTGTCTTACATTCCATACTCGCGTATGGCACTCGGAGTTTAATTGATTTAAAACTCAAATCTTACCAATGGGATTGTGCTAGGTGTCGTATACATGTACGGAATGTATAAATGTGAACCGTATAGGACAATCACTGCCATTTTAAAAGTAAAATTATACGGTGAATGTCAACGATAGTCATTTCTAAGCTAACTAGATGCCGCCAAAGTCCGAAAAAATGCCTGAAAAATTAAATGAATACCCAGTGAATGCCTCGGTGAATGGATGAATGCATTTCTGAACTTTATGAACTGAAAGTTCACTTTAATTACATCTCTAAAATTTACAAGTAATGCTTTAATAAAACTGTCTTTTTTTACTTTTCTCAAGGATATTTGAAGCATCTAATTTGGACTTTCGATTAATTTATTTTATAGCTGCAATTAACTATTGCTAAATTAGACATTATAACAAGAATACACTCGGAAAATAGTAAATAATTTAATTATAGAATCACTAAATATACAGTTTACCCTTTAATTTGTTATCGTGAGTTAGTAAATTAAGTAGTATCTGTGTGTATATGTGGTGTCGATGTAGGTAAGAACTTAGTTTATTGGTAGATAGGTATATAAAGTTAGATTATTGGTTGCTTATATGGATGTAAATATACCGAATGATCGAAAAAAAAAACGGTAGGATATCATCTGTCGAAACTTCCCCTAGGAGATGCAAGACCTTGTCGTTGGTGGGGAAGCTCCAGGTCTGGTGCTGTTCCGAATTCTGAATCCCCCTAGCGCATGGCTTGGTCTAACAAGCATCTCACTAATCGTCTTGTTCCTGGCTGTAGTGTCGTGTGTCGTGGCCAGGGAACTGCACCAAGACATATAACGATGCCGGACGGGGCTACCCCTAGAGGGTGTGGAGGGGGAAGCTCCCCCCTTAAAGGCTTAACCTCCTGGACCAAGACGAGAAAGAAAGAAAGAAAGAAAGAAAGAACACTATGAGATCTAGTACTAAAAACAAGCCCCCTAACGACACTGAGAACATTACAAATAATGAAAGTTCCAAGGGACCAAAAGAAACTACAAGAGGGGCGGCTGACACTTGCTTGGGATCATCCTCCACAAGTGGCACACAAGCTACCACCTTCTCCAGCAAGGGTCGGGAGCCTACCTATAGACCCAATAAGCGACACAAGCTACCGTTTTGTCTACCCGGTCTGGGTCAACCAGGCGGGCTAGACGATCTCTGAAAGTAGAACCCGAGATATCTTAGAGGACCAGAAGCACGGAGTAATTAACCGACTGCTCCACGAAGGGCTTGCTCCAGAGGAAGCAAAAGCGAAAACACTCCTCCAAAAAGGGGAGAGTATAAAGAAACCAAGAAACAACCTGACTCAGCTCCATCAAAGGGCAAAGGGGAGCGAGAACCTCTCACCTCTTCTCGGGCAGGGAGATAATAAAGCCAGGATGGAAAGCCGTCCAACACCGGGAGGCAAGCAGGGACGTATCACCAGCTCTTTGCCAAGTGACAAGTAAAAATGGCGGTGCTGCCAAAGGATTTCCCAGAGGTTGCTCTGACCACCGACCAGCAAATGTCTCTAGAAGAGGCAATACTGGACGAAGTAGTGGCGATCGGATCGCAACACAACGATCTACAAAATGTGGGTCAGCTGCGTTTTGCGGTGATATACTTTCGGGTGGGCATGATCCTCATAGATTGTGTATCTCAAGAATCGGCGAATTGGTTGGTGGAAATCGCACCTAAGCTTAAAAATTGGCAAGGTCCGGAACTGGTTGCAGTGAAGGGAAAAACTAAAGAGGCGGCCATCACGGTCTTTCTGCCGAGAAGCAAGGGGAAAGACACCACCTACCTGCTGAGCCTTATCTAGGGTCAGAACTTCAATGTAAGGACATCGAGTTGGCGAGTCAGCAACTCGAGGAAGGAGGGTCATGGGTCATGGTCAGGTCCTCACAATAGGAATTGACCTCAAATCCAAGGAGGCAATAGAGAAATAGTAATATAAATAGAAAAGAAATATCCTTTATTATAGATACGGGACAACAACGGTATCAGGTCTAAGGATCTAAAGAGAGACCAAGTTAAAGAGGTGGAGAAAATGGAGACAGATCCTCCAGCCCCCACCGCACGGGTTCCTCAGCCAGAGGCAAGCTCCTCGAATGTAAAGAGCGGCACGGAGTGCCAAACTTCAACCGTGGGAGGGTGTGTACCCTCGGAGGAAGAACTGTTGTCAGAGGAGGACAGGAAATACCCTGTCCCCTCTAGCACAGGGGTCTGATGGATTATAGACTGTGTGATGACTCAAGGAAGGTCGCAGTGATTAACCCGCCCTCTTACTTATTCTTTTACTGGATAGACTATATATTTGGCATCGTCCAAAAATCGCTTGGTCATAAAAATGTTTTAATAAAATTGGCAAAAAAATTTATGTGATAATGATAGTGACAGTTCTTCTCTGTCCTTTTCATTCGGAACTAGAATGTTTTGTAAGTTTTAGGATTTCATCTGTCGAAATCATATATTCTTTTGCTGGATAGACTATATATTTGGCATCGTCCAAAAATCGCTTGGTCATAAAAAAATGGGAAGAATATTTATAGTTACCTACTATGAATTTTCAAAAAAAACTTGTGTTGTTAGATAATGTAGGGGTATACAAATACAAATCACATAAATACTATTTTGAAAACAAAGTTCATCACTCCTAAGATACTGATATCAGTCACTAACAACAATAGTTAAATGGATTTTAATGGTTTTTAACTCGGCTTTTAACTAATGAACTACAATCATAATAAATGGTTGCATTCTTACCGTATGATTGAAAAAAAAAACGGCGTCCAGTTGCCTTGAAAGTGATTTCCCTCGCGATTTCCCATATATAATTTTATATAAAATATAAAATCATAAAATGACAGCGCATATATCTTTTCAAAGCCATCTCTAACGCGGTTTTTTTTTGATCATATTGAATTTTGTTTAAATAAAGTACCTATTTATAGTCTGTCTGCGGGGATTCATGACAGTGACAATAATTACAGTTGTCATTTTTGGTTGTCGTCTGTAAAAATCTTCCCCGATTCGTTGGACAAACTATATAGGTATGTACCTGTATTTGATACCAATACCAATTAAACTTTTAGTTACATAATCGAGGGCGCGATTTTTAAATTCATTGTTGCCAACTATGGACATATTCGTCGCCGGGCTGACTGACTGGAATTTTAATTTACCGCTGGGGATTCAGATGGTAGCTCTGCTGTAAGAAATATCAAGTTGACACATTTATTTATTTATTTCCTGACAATGTCATTCGTTTTGACACTTTATTTTCTTATTACGAGTTTTTGGTTTAAATGAATAGTGTTGTGATAATTTTAGCATACCTTGCAGTCGAACATTGTTCTTTTCAGAACCTCTTTTAGTGCGAAGTGCACAATATAGCTTAATAGCCGTAAAAATTCATCGCAACATTATTAGAATATTTTGAAGGGAGAAGAGGTAGGAATGGCCCTTTATTAAGTGCTGAAGCTGAATTTTGTTGATGTAAATAATAACTGTTTGACAAATAAGTACCTTTTTAAAACTTACGAAAATAGACCATTATTTCATTCTTCTGCTCTAAATAATATTGTCAATTTCATGGCAATTGAGTGAGTTTAACTTGGCTATTAATAACAAAGAAAATACGAATTGTTTGTTTAATAGACCCTGTAAATGCATTGAAATGTCACCCAAGCATAGTAAAGTTAAAATTATACCATGCGACTGTTTAAAATTCTTTTATGCTCTCTAATACCTTATGAATATTACATTTAGCTTTTAATAACTTTGTAGAATTGAAAGTTAATATTAAAACGGAAAATATAACGAAAGTAGAATAAAGAAAACTACTAAAAATTCTATTTCGAACATTTGGTTGGTATAGCGAACTTGATTAATGTATTAAGGACAAACAAATTATTCGTTGGTGGATTATAAAGTTATTTTAGAAACTACAGAAAAAATATTTTGAATTATTAGCAATATCAAAAAACTTACTTTTAAAACAAAATTATAATTCCACGCTGGTCACCTAGAGCCTGTTTGTTTTTAAATTTTCCTCATTCGTTCAATTTGGATACTTGCGAAAATTAATCACTTAACTCGAGAATAATTCACAGCCACACGAAATATAAATCAAAAATATATTTTTGTTTAAACGGCACTAAAGAATTTTAAAAGAAAATATTAACATAAACACGTATCGGCCCCACGACCAACGTCACTAACTCAACCGCGGTTGGAAATAAACTAAATTTTCTGATACGTCGAATTCGTCGAATCGGATACGCTCGCACCGATACGGTTAGTGTTATTTCTCTCGCTCTGAGCGGGTGCGAGAGGGATAAGACCTGTTCGAAAGCCGCAAGTGAACACGTCCGGCCTGTCGGATGACCGTTGGCTTTGGGTTCTCCGGAGTTCAAGAAAGAGCCAAAGGCGCCAACCTCGGCAAGGTCAGTCATCATCATCGCATCTTCCACTTTTTTATAGTCTAGGTAAACCATTTATTTTTCTTTATGCGATTTTGTAGAAAACGGGATATTGGAATTGGACGGAAATTTATTTTTGTTCGTTGCATTAGCCTTGACTTCTTGGAGCGGTAATCGTTGGTCAATGAATGCGCTTTCCGAGAGATTATTTTTTTACCTAGGATTTTTTCAAATTCTGTTGTTATGAGTTATGACAAAGGTTATGATGTATGCGATGGTTTTTCTTAATTAATAAAAATGTAAATATTTATGTGCTTTAAAGTTCCCGAAATTCAAATATGTAGTATCTACACAGTATCTACAGTGGCGGATACAGGGGGGGGGGCCCATGGGGCCCGGGCCCCCCCCTTAAATCTGTAAATTGGGTTAAATATTAGGCTTTTGGGTTAAAAATGGCGCCCTAAAAAGCATATTTTGCATTATTTTTTTATTTGGACCACCCCTAAAATAAATTTCTGTATCCGCCCCTGAGTATCTAGTTGGTGTCTTTGTCACCAAAATATACCGGGTGCGTCCCAAAAGTGGGTCATCCCTATAATTTTTTTGTTTCTTCAGATAAAAAAAACGATATTTGATATGTTAGTAGGTATATGACATAGGATTGATTGACGAATTCAATTGTTTTTGGTCACTTCTTGTTTCACCGGAACTGAGTATATAACTTTTAATTTTTAAATGACAACATACGTTTTTTTACTTTATTCATAGAAAATGACACTCTGAATAGTTTGACATATATTGGTTGTCAACTTTTGACATTTTCGCTTATGTTTTATTTGAAATTGTAACATGCGGTTTATACTTTGAATAAGAAGACTAAGGAAGGAGCATATCAAAACTTATGTCCACCGCGATGGGCCTCAAATATGGCCGACTTAAATTCCGGTTTATCAGTGCCGTTCTAATTTTATTTAAAAAATGTAAAACTATGATGTAGGGTAGATGTGGGGTAGACTCAATAATTTGTTGTTTTATTTTACGTTGTGAATAAATGTTAGTAGTTATTAAAATTGTTATAAAAATTAACACAAACATCCGATACGCTACTGAAGCAGGTGAGTCAAATTAACGTATCTAAATTATTTGACATCTGATCTTTGACAAGTAGTAAATAAAAGCTAAAATGCAAGAAAAATATATAATTTAGTTAATTTAAGTGAATTTAATCAATGATTGGTTTACTACACTTATGTATATTATATAGTCACTTATACTAGCGAAAAGTTGTTCCATTATTTCACTCGATTTTTGCCGAGATCTACTGCACGCTACACAACCAACTATTTTAGAGTCTTTTTCGATAAATCGCGACAGTGTCCCTGTTAATTTAAGTTCTGCCACAATTTCCATCTAGATTTACTACCTTTATACAACTATCAGTAGTAGAATAAATAATAAATAAAATAAAATAAGCTCCGTAAAGACTGACAAATCCACAAAATTTCAAATCAAATTCAAATGTGTCAAATGAATCGTCAAACAGAACTGTCAAGGATCCCCACCCTAGAGTCCTTTTTCCGCCCACCATGCATGAATACATGGATAGCATTATGCTCCTTCCTTAGTCTTCTTATTGAAAGGGTTTATAATATCGTATGATCGAATAAAAACGGCGTCAGCGATGGCTATGAGATGAAGATTGCTGTCATTTTATATGTAAATTTATATGAGAAATGTCATTGATCGTCATTTCATAGCCATCGCTGACGCCGTTTTTATTCGATCATACGGTATAAACCGCATGTTACAAGTTTATAACGACAATTTCACACCAAATACCAAGTGTGTGGTATCAAATTATTCGTCATTTTCCAAAATATGCTAATGAGCCACCCTCGTTCGATTTGAAAAAAGACGAGATATGGATAAAAATACGATTTGGGCATCTTTTAACCGGCCAGGACAAGACACGAAAAACATTAGACATCAATCAAATCTATTTTCCAAAACTCCTTGATTTGGAAAATTGGAAAACTTTTTTGAAAAATTATTATTTTTAACACTCACAAATTTGATTTTTTTAAAGCGAAAATGTCCAAAGTTGACATATGATATGTCATTCTATTCAGAGTGTAATTTTGTATCAAATTACAAATTTTGTAATTTTTATTAAGTTTACAAATTTTTACTATAAAAATACCAAGGATGTATGCCATTTAAAAATTAAAAGTTGTAGTCATTTTCGGTGAAACAGGAAGTGACCAAAAACAATTAAATACCGTCAATCAATCCTAATTTATGTCATAATATGCTAACAGACCAAATCTTGTTTTTTACTTGAAAAAATAAAAAAGTTATAGGGGTGAGCCACTTTTGAGACGCACCCGGTATAGTTCCTTACTTAGGATGACGAAAATCTTTGTACTCCCATGCAACAGTGGCGCATCTCGATATTGAGTTTAGAAGGGGTAGTGGCAATATTTAAACAAAGTACTTATTAGGTTTAAATTAAATTTTCGCCTAAAGGGATAGTGACTGGAAAAAAATAAACTTGAATTGGTTTGGATTTTCTATTTTGATTGGTATTATTAATTTCTTTTGTGGCAATCTACTTATACTAACCCCATTTTATCTTATTTATAATTTTTTTTGTGACTCCGAACGCAAGTTTCAGCTTGAGGACTTGAGGAGTAAAAGTCACTGGTCAACTGTAATTCGCGAATTATCGTCATGGAAACCACTGAGCTTTAAAGACCCAGTACTGGTGTCATTTGGTATAGTATATAAAATGAATAACTTTGAATTTTGGCCGTTATTTTTTACCAACATGGCAAATATAAAAGCCCTCTATCCAAAAATTTACTGATATTCTTTAAAATGAGTGCCTGAACGAATCAGATAGGTAACTCTTTTTACTTTCGTGAAATAGAAAAGAAAAATAATAAAACAGGTGACAGTTCTTCCTCTTCTTACAAGAATCAACGCAAAATGTCATAATTGACAAAAGTAAAATGTCATCAGCCTTTGACATTTCTAAATATCAGACCAATGCCGTCTCTAATAGAACAGCCTCAGAGCGAGATTTATGACGTCACGCTAGTTAGATACCACGGATTAATAAATATGTTGTAGAATTCACGGAAAACATAATTATTCCTCGTATTTTTGGTTTGTATTTAAAAATGATATAGTTTACACGAAATATACATAATATACAGTTAATAAATACAATATATTTATATACCTATTTATAGTAATAAATAACTTTGGCAAATAAACTATGAACCATACAAATGCATCAAATGTTTTACAATATACAAATAATGAATAGGTACATAAGATAATGGGTAAAATGTAAAATATATTTTAAATTTTGGGGTTTGAAAATCGATCTAATTTAACAAAAAACTTTCAATATCTACTAATAGTGATGTATTATTATTTGCATTCATAAAACTTATATGTATATTTTGCAAGCATCAATGTTCGAAAAATTATATTTGCAAATAATACAATATCATACAAAATCAAAATATCAAAAAAAAGGCGTCAGCGATGGCTATGAAATAAAGATCGCTGTCATTTTATATGTAAAATTATTCTAAAATTTTTGATTTTCTTGGGATTTAGGTTCGGGAAAAACGCTGATTAAGTTTTCATTTGGTTTTTCATTACTTTTTTGGTTTAAAAAAAAACGTTATAGCTAACGTTTATAGCCTTCATCAGTGTTGTGTCATATGAAAAAAATAGTGTCGAATATAATCCAAAAAATTACAGATACAAGGAATAATTATGTTTTCCATGTATTCTACAACATAATTAATCAGTAGTATCTAACTAGCGTGACGTCATAAATCTCGATCCGAGGCTGTTCTATTAGAGACGGCATTGCATCAGCATGGCCGCAAGTTGCTAACCTAATAAAATTAACACTAGAAAAGCCCGCGGGAACTGTCAAATTCAAAGTTATTCGTTTCACAGACTATACTACCGTTTTGGTGTGATTTCTGACCTCAGTTTTTCGAAGTAAAAATGTCGACGATTTAGTAGTATTTTTTCCTAGAAGCCTGTTTATTTTGTTACATAAATAACTTATTCTGATTATAACTACGAGTATATTCTAGTGTTTCGTTATGCATGCTTAATACATTTTTCGTGACAATTACAAAAACTTTTTATTTAGTACCTATCAATACAACAACTTTGTTTAATTATCACTGCCTGGTTTATAGCATAATTTTTATAAAAATATAAACACGTTTAATTGTTGCTTAGCATGCAGAACGTGCAATGCATATATGCGTCAAGGCGTCCTTTTTATTGTTATTTTTGGTACATTACATGAATATAAAAATATATTAAATACGTAGACGTCAAGCCAAGGCTGATGCAACCTAAAGGATATAACAAACATTTTGCTGAATAGAGGTTTTCTTAGTCAAATTATTTTTTTATTCAACTAAAGCCCCGTCTGCATATAACGTTTCACCTGACAGGGTAAAGGTTGATTCTCTCACTATACCTTCCATATCAGCTCCCTTCCGTTTACATAAAATATTATATTATGTAAATGAATAGGACAATGCACACTATCCGTTCCGTTTCCCTTCCGTTCCATATCCTTTCATTCCATACATTTTTTGGCGGACGGATTGAAGCGTATCGGAAACAGCGTTGTCAAGTTGTCACATTTGTACCAGCTCTGTTAAAATTTTTGCTGATATTTATTTATTCTTTCGCCTCTTAATTAAATCCATTACCTTTTTCAAAAGATACAAATTTTTAAAATAAAACTATCGTAATGTAAAAATAAATTGTACAATAAAAAGTATGGCACTGATACGGAACGGAAGCTTACGGATAGCGTCAATACAATAAAAATACGTAACGAATATGGAATGGAAACGAAAGGTAGAGTGAGAATCAACCTTAAGACGGATTAAAAAATACCGTACATTAAAAAAAAAAATAAGGAATTTTCCAAAAAAAAATGGTGATACATTAGACTATTTTTAATAAGAATCTTGTGAAAATAAGATATTTTCGCATAGTTCCACAAAAAAATGTATTTTTGCAAAACAGTTTATTAATATTAAATGATTATTACTAAACGATATTATTTTCATGATTCTAACAGGAGAGATGTAAATATATCAAATACTACAAATGGATTTTGGTGGTGTAGAGTTTGGTTTGTAGATAGAAGTGTTTATACAGATACTGATTTGGGGTTCACGATAACCTGCAATCTGAACTGAGTGGTAGTCGCAGATAAAAATCATCATCATCGTCACCTTCAACTTATTCAACAATTTCTAATTATTGTGGTGTAGTCTCCCTCACATATTTACATACTCTCTTTATATTTGAATCCTTTGTTCTCTATTGTTGGCTACGCGGGCCAAAGTTATCCCTGCTTATTTTCTAATATCATGGTTTGGTCGAAGAATCTAGGTCTTTTAATTCCTCGTGGGTACCATCTGAGGGTACCATGCTGTAATTTTTGTGGTTGATTTGTTGTTCGTCCTTCTTGCCAGGTGTCCTGCCCATTGCCACTTGATGGATATGATTTTGTTGATGATATCTATTACCTGGATCTTTTGTTGTATCCACTCTATTCTTTTACGGTATTTCTTGGTTATTCCTAGCATAATTTCGTTCAATTTAGCGTTGTTCGACCTGCAGGTTCCTTATAATGTCCCTTTTAAATGTCCAGCTTTTGCATGCATAGGTCATGACTGGTATAGTCATGACCTATGTTTTCTTCTTTAGAGAAAGTGTTTTCTTCTTTAGAGAAAGTGACATTCTAGATTTGAATATAATAAAAAGATATAGTCAATATATTTACTTATAATAACAAGTTAAAGCCTGATGTGATTTTTTTAAATCACTGTAAAATTACAGTTAAATAGGAATATGTTTCAGATATATTTTAGACAGTAGGTACGATATAAGAGGCCCAGTGGTACCATTTGGGTATTCCGCAACCGTTTTTCTGAATCGTACCCTTTACAAGACTTTTGAAAAATTTATATTTCTATTGAAATAATGCTAATAAAGATATGAAAAAAATATATAAGATGTTCAAACTAAAGATTAGCAACAATCACAATCACCCAGTCCCAAAAAATCGGCATATTTTTAACATTTGTACTAAGCCATACGGTTTAGGCTACTCTTTCTATATAGGGTGGTGACAATTTCAATGCTCAACATTGGCATCTCAGAAACTACGAGAGATACGAATTCGGTTAAATGGGATAAAAGTTGAGTAATTAGATGTTTGACAAAGACCTATGAAGAAAACCCCGGTATCTTGATTAGTTTAGGATTTTGATTAGTTTAGGAGCAGCAGTCAAGTTTTTGTTTTCTTATGGCCGCCATTTTGAATTTTTATACTATTAGATAGAGCAAAAAATAATCTATATGGTGATATATCTAATTTTTATTCATTATTATGTAAGTTCACTAAAAAAATAAGATTTTTTAAAAATTCGCTCAAAAGATCAAGTCGTTTTATATGACAGCAAGTTAATTTTTGTTTACTCTATTAAGTGTCAAATCTGGACACAAAAATTTATAGTAAATAGTGTAAAATGTATTAACAGTCAACAATATGGTCACAAGTGAGGAAACACGAGATATGTATGATATGTTTACTTAAAAATAATAAAAATTCCGATATAGCACGCGCAAGTTATAGAATATTTTGCGTCCTGAAAGGACGCAGCCTCATCGTACTATTTTCGCAAGGATTTCAAGAAATTTAGCAGTTGCTGGTAGCTTTAAGAAAAAGAGGCAAATATTTTAAAAGGCTTAATGATTTTAATGTGCCATTCGGATTGAAATAAATACGGAAACTTCTAGTAGTAAAGTAAAATAAAACTCGCGAGTGTTGTATAAGTGATTCTTATGTAGGGAAATTATAAAAAAACATAAATATCATAACTTTAAATTTAAAGGTATACCAAACTTATATTTTTTTACATGCAATTTTGCAAATGATTCCGGGAAAGTGTTCAAGAGCCCCCTTTTTCTAGAAAAATATTGTCAAGGTGTATGTGGCGCCATCTGTCGGAGAAGCGAGCAACTAAAACCGCAACGTGTCCAGAAACCTGAAGACAATATTTTGTTGTAGCGCCATCTCTTAATCAAGTCGACAAGTAAGCGAAGCAGACAATAGAATGTACTAGTAGATGGCGGACCCGTCCCGATAATTTTAGATTGTTCGCGAAACACTCACCACAGCTATATAAAAGGAGCGCTTACGACAGTTGGGGAAGTTAAGAGTTTTTGAAATTTGAATATACCGCGTGGAAATTGAAAATCGGACAATTTGGTGAAGGAATCTTAGTTTGTTGTTTGTTATAAGTTAGTAATTGTGTATAAAGTGAGAAAATAAATTCGTTAAGTATTTTATCGTGAGTTTAAATAGTGGACCCACGGAATCCGTAACAATTGGTGTCAGAAGTGGGATTCAAGAGGATTGTAAGAAGAAATTAAGTGGATTGGACGATTTTTACACCGAATTTGGGAATTTTATGGTTGGTACGAGACAGCAAGCGAAGAAAATGGAGGAAGTAAGCAAATTATTGGGCGATTTTATGGAGAATATGAGAAGAGAAAAGGCAGAAGAACAAGAGAGGCTGCGAAAAGAAAAAGCAGAAGATCAAGAAAGACTCCGTAAAGAACGAGAAGAAGAGCGAGCCCGACTAGAAAAAGAGAAAGCAGAAAAACAGGACCGCTTACTGAAAATTCTAGAAAATCAAGACAAAATTTTCGAAGATTTGAAAATCCAACGACAACAAGAGAAACAAGAAGAACAGGACCGGCTTGAGAAAATATTGGGTAATTTGGAAATTCGTTTGGAGGAGCGACGTCAGAGAGAAAAGCAAGAAGAACAGGACCGACTTCAGAAAATCTTAGAAAATCAGGAAATTCGACTTCAGAAAAGCTTCGGAGACATGGAAAAAAAGCAAGAAGCAATGTTGGAAATGCGTTGCCAGGAACAGCAGAATCACTTCCAAGAAGCCGTAGAAGATCTGGAGGAGCGCCTTCAACAGAAAATGGAAAAATTAGAGAAGGACCTACAGAAGACCAAGGCACAAGCAAGGACACCTGGCGTTCCTGGAACTGCAAACCTCAAGGCCCCGACCTACGATGGACAAACCACCTGGACGATGTACCACCGCCAGTTTGAAGCAGCGGCTGCTGTCAACGGATGGACTGACCAGGAGAAAGCAGCGGCACTTGTCATCGCGCTGCGTGGCCCTGCCCTGGAACTCCTGCAAACTATTCCTGCAGCCCAACAGCAGGAATACCAAACTTTGGTCGCTGCACTGGACAGAAGATATGGCGACCAACATCGACGCCAACTTTACCAGGCACAGATCAAGACACGCCTGCAGAGGTCCGGAGAGAGTCTGCAGGAATTCGAAGCAGACTTACGTCGCCTGGTACACCTAGCGTATCCAGAAGCACCGGAAGGATTTAGGGAAGAACTGGCTGCTCAGTGCTTTATCAGCGGACTGAGGGACAATGAATTACAGAGGGCGCTGCAAATATCGCGATTTTCTACCAGCAGCGAAGTACTCGTCAGGGCGCTGGAAATAGAAGCTGCATTTAGCGCCATTCCTAAACAGAAGATAGGCTCGGTAACGGTTGAGGAACAGCCAAAGAGTTCTCACATACGTTTGGAGGAGATGTGTAAGAAATTCGTCAAACTATGTGAGCTACTAATAAACAAGGGAGTCAACAACACCCAGACAGAGAACCAGAGAAGATTCCAAGATATTAGGTGCTATAGATGTGGCAGGATTGGCCATATCCAACTGGATTGTCGCATCCAAATGCCATTCCGTTCATCATTAAGAGAACATCGGCACATCGGAAGATCCCAGGACATAAGTTGCTATAGATGTGGCAGGAATGGCCACATCAAACGGGATTGCCGCGTCCAAATGCGATTCCGTTTACCATCGAGAGAACATAGGCACCAGGAAATCAACACTAATGAGCGAGTATTGGCTGAAGAAAACAGAGCCCCTAGGATGTTTTCCGTTAGGAGTCTAGGAAAAACCGCTTACAGTTTGGTGATCAACGGGAAGGTCAATGGTAGAAGAATTGGAATGACTGTGGACACAGGCGCTATGGTATCGTTGGTGCGGACTAACTCAGTGCAAGGATTGAAGATGATGCCTCTTAGAAGAAGAGTGTATTTACGTACAGTTACGGGGAAATGGCCGTTGTACGGGGGAGAGGCTTTCATGGAATTGGAGTTAGGGAATTTGAAGTTTCGGCATAGCGTTTTAGTGGCAGACATTGAAGATGATTTTATCATGGGTATGGATGTGATCAGTCAACATGGTTTTTCGTTTGATCACCATAGAAACATCCTGAAAATCGGAAATGAGGAATTTTCTGTATCTAAAGAGAAGAGACTAGGAAATATGGAAGAAAGATCATCGAAAATTGTGATGATACCTGGTGATACCAAGAAGACTGTGTTCGAGAAAATAGAGGAAACCTCTGGGTGCCATGTAGGACGGGTACAAATTATCGACAACGACCTAGATCGACGACGAGCTACCTTGGACAAGAAAATGAAACATCGTGAAAGCACTATCAGAGTAAGGAATTTTGAATTGAGAACTGACAAACAATGGACGACGATACAATTGAGGAAAGATCAAATGAAAGATCCAGACATCGGAGCAATACTACGGCTCAAGGAAGGTAACGGCGAGAGACCACCGTCGCAGGATATTGCGGACAGAGGGCTGGTTTTCAAAGCTCTCTGGGCTCAGTGGAATTCACTGGTGATTGAGAATGGATTGTTAAAGCGCACATGGGAAAGTGCGGATGGCAGGACCGTAACAACTCAGTTACTGGTACCAAGGAAGAAAGTCACCCAGGTATTGGAAGAAATTCATGGTGGTAAAACTGGAGCCCATCTTGGGGTAAACAAGACCTTGAGCAAGCTGAGAGACCGTTTTTACTGGGTGGATTATTGTGAAGATGTTAAGAAATGGTGTCAACGTTGTAAGATTTGCGCAGCTAGACAAGGACCAAGTACTCGATCTGGAGGAAAAATGGAACAAGATAACGTTGGACGGTCGTTCGAAAGAGTCGTTAGGAAGGAAAGATTATTGGGAATTCATAAGGCCGTGAGAAGTAAGATTACGCTAGCCAGTGACCGGATGAAAGCTCGTTACGACCTCAGAGCTAATTCTACGGGATTTCAACAGGACGATAGAGTATGGTTGTGTAATCCACAGCGCAAGAAAGGGAGGTCCCCAAAGTTAACTCCAGCATGGGAAGGTCCTTATACAGTCATCAAGAGGATAAATGATGTAGTGTACCGGATTCAACGCAGCCCTAGAAGTAAGATGAAAGTAGTTCATCTGGATCGATTGAAGAGATACCAGACAGGAAACCTTGATCGGGACGATCAAATTTGAGAAGGGGCAATGTCAAGGTGTATGTGGCGCCATCTGTCGGAGAAGCGAGCAACTAAAACCGCAACGTGTCCAGAAACCTGAAGACAATATTTTGTTGTAGCGCCATCTCTTAATCAAGTCGACAAGTAAGCGAAGCAGACAATAGAATGTACTAGTAGATGGCGGACCCGTCCCGATAATTTTAGATTGTTCGCGAAACACTCACCACAGCTATATAAAAGGAGCGCTTACGACAGTTGGGGAAGTTAAGAGTTTTTGAAATTTGAATATACCGCGTGGAAATTGAAAATCGGACAATTTGGTGAAGGAATCTTAGTTTGTTGTTTGTTATAAGTTAGTAATTGTGTATAAAGTGAGAAAATAAATTCGTTAAGTATTTTATCGTGAGTTTAAATAGTGGACCCACGGAATCCGTAACAATATTATAGACGGATGTATCTTTATTTACAAATTCTGGTGCATTTAACGGAAAAAAATTCACATTATTATGCAAAAGAAAATCCTTATTTAATAGAGAAACCATGGAGAAACCAGACCACAGTAATATATTCTTTGAACGTCTTGGCTGGCGTTCTTGACAATAAAATTTTAGGTTCTGTATTGATGTGTATTGAACTCTACTAAGCCATTTTTGTGCATCCAGATTTGACACTTAATAGAATAAACAAAAAATAACTTGCTGACATATAAAGTGTTAAATGGATTTCCAAGGCAGACTTGATCTTCGGCGAATTTTGAAAAAATCTATTTTTTTAGTGAATTTAGGAATCAAAATAAAATTATATTATAAACTGAGTTGACTAAACTGATTAAAGTTTATAATCATCTGCTGATGTTGCTAACATGGTTAGCGAAACGCGCGTCCAGTGTAAAAGTAAAAGTGTTTTGGTGTATTGTGGTGATTTAGTGTTCTATTTTGCTGTGTAACACCAAAGGTTCCAACCCCCAATGTCTGTAATTTAGGAATAATGAATAAAAATTAGATACCACCGTATAGACTTTTTTTCGCTCTATCTAACAGTATAAAAATTCAAAATGGCGGCTATAAGAAAATAAAAACTTGACTATTGTTGTGCGAAATCTAGAAGGCTTAAAAATTTTCTGAAAACGGCATCTAACTGGTCGATGTCAAAAATATAAAACTACCAACTTACGTTCCAGTCATTTAATATAAACGTATTATTTTCATTTTTTTGACATAAATCCGAAAGTAATCAAGATACCGGGGTTTTCTTCATAGGTGTTTGTCAAACTTCTAATTACGCAACTTTTGTCCCATTTTTCTCGTAGTTTCTGAGATGCCAATGTTGAGCATCGAAATTGTCACCACCCTGTATACCAGTGTAATCCTGAGTGATATGCATCTTGGAATTTTACTTTTTTCTTTGCGTCTGTCTGTTTAATTTCCCATCGGCCATGAAACAAGTACGAAAACCGTGCGTGAAGACGTTTTTGGCGTCTTCAATACTTGCAGTAGCGGTCGTACTTGGCGGTTCCTAATGAGGTGTTACGGGCAGGCACGTACTTCAAGGCCGGTCCCCATCAAAAATAATGTGCATTGTAGTGCTTAATTGAACATGTGTCTTTATGGCTTGTTTGTGCGTGTAAATGGGTATCATCCTTTGTCTATTGAACAGGAAAAATGAACTCGATATGTATATTTATATATAGTAAGTGTTAAGTTATATTGTTTTGAAATATCTCCTCTTGTCGTAAAAATGATATACAGGGTGTGTCTTAAATAAGTGCAAATATTTTCAGGGCTGGTAGATTTTGATAAAAGAGACATATTTTCTCTCTACCGTTTTTCAAACAAATTAACCGAGGTATTTTACTTTGAAAATTTCTCAAAAAAACTATTTTCTGTTAAAATTTTTAGAACCACTTCTTGTAAATTTAATCTACGATCTATGTTGCCATATTATTAACAAATTATCTTTGTTAACTAAAAACTAAAAAAGATCAAAAAAATTCAAAATTTTATTTTTTTTTTCTCTCTCTCTAAATTGCTGCGAGAGGTGGACATACGCTACTAAAATTATTGTTTTTTCCAATAAAATAATCTCTCTGAAATCAATACTTTACTTAGAGATGTGTAACCCATAAAAAAACAGGGGGAGGGGGGAGGGGGGAGATAATGGAATAATTTAAAAAATGAAATGTTAGGAATACATCTAACATTACAGGAAAGTATTTTTTTTATCCAAAATGCCCGTCTTATTTTTTCCACAGGGAGTTTTGAATTTACCGCAAAACACAACGTTTTGATTTACCCCGGTATAAACCCACCTAACCGAAGAATATAAGCTATTAAACTAATAAAAAATAATGCCAATACATTTATCTTTATGCTGATATCATAATCATAAAAATCAGATTACAAATAAAAAAATTATGAAACATCAAACTTAGTCAAATTTTCTAAAAAACTAAAAAAGATCAAAAAAATTTAAAATTTTATTTTTTTTTCTCTCTCTCTCTCTAAATTGCTGCGAGAGGTGGACATACGCTACTAAAATTATTGTTTTTTCCGATAAAATAATCTCTCTGAAATCAATACTTTACTTAGAAATGTGTAACCCATA